CGGCCTACTGTGGTTTCTACGTAACATGACCTACGTGGTCTATCTGCGTTAATCGGCCTAACGTGTTAATCGGCCTGATATGGCCTCTCATCAGCCCGTCGGGGCCTCCACGCTGCACAGCCTGTCGGGGCCTTCGCTTTACATGGCCTTTTGAGGCTTTCATATTACACAGCCTATAGTGGCCTTTGCACAATATGGCCTAGTGTGACCATCAGGTAAGTCTGAACATTATTGTTTATTTAACTTGGCCTATTCTGGCCCTTCACAACATTGGTCTATCATGGCTTTTCTCATTACATGAAGTACGCTGTCTTTGCATTAAATGGCATAATGCGGCCTGTCATAACATAGCTCATAAGTCATTTGTTTATAAATATTTATTAATTATGCCTTTTCATAAAATGTAATGCTAATCTTTTGACTTCATTTTAGGATATCCAATAAAGAAAAGCCTCACCTGATGGGAATCAATTCACACTTCTTTTTGGGGGTAGGCTCCGCCCCTGCCTTCATCTCCAGGCAGGATCAGCCAAATCTGCGCTCCCAGGATTTGGGCAAAGGACGGGGCCTACGCCAAAATAATTTTTCTGTACAACTATTCACTAATTATTGTAACTCACTCACCACCATCCATTAACACTTTACGGAATAAATACCATGTAAACATTTACCTTCTCTCTGAGTCTTTCTGATAGAAATGTACTTATACAAATCATGCAGTTAGCTAAGAATTGATTAATTTAAACAATGTATTAATTAATGACAGAAACAATGAGCTCATTGAAGTAATTAATTTGTGTTATTAACAAGTGATTAAAATGTATAGAAAAATTATCATTGGGGCATGTTGATTCAGAGTTTGTGTCATCTGAATTCCTCACAGAAGTTGGGTGATCTCTTCACAGTAGTTGGAGTCATCTCGTGTGTGTGTGCGTGTGTGTGTATACGTTTTTCTATCTTGGTGGGGACCTGAATGCACACCGACTCATGGGGACTCGTGTCCCCATGGGGGTAAAAGCTTATAAATCATACAGAATTAGTTTTTTGAAAATGTAAAAATGCAAAAAGTTTAGTGTGATGGGTAGGTTTAGGGGTAGAGTTAGTGTAGGGGGAGAGAATATACCGTTTGTACAGGATAAAAATCATTACACCTATGGAATGTCCCCACAAGGATACTAAAATGTGTGTGTGTGTGTGTGTGTGTACCTACTTAACCATATTTTGGGGACAAATTTGTACCCAAAAGTGAGCTAAACCTGACAAAATCTCCAAAAACCTCTGTTTGGGGATGTGTATCTGTGCTTTTCTCAGCCTCTGCTTGTGCTGATGGAAATTAGTTTTTATTGTAGTGTCACATCAATCTCTATTATTACGCTAAAAATTACCTTTCAGTTGAAAAGTACCTTTCAACTAAATCCTCTTGATCGGGCTCCTCTGACGTGATATCCGCAACAGCCAATGAGAGCAAGCAAGCGTCACCTAATGGATGTTGCGTGCTTCTATAGCTAAAATTTGGCAGCCACAAACATCAGATTCAAAATGAGCTTTATTCACCAAGTCAAGTGTATGCAAACACACAAGGAATTTGTTGTGGTTTTACATGAGCTCTTGGTACATGCATACATAGGGGAGAGTGAGGTAAGATGAGCCATTTTTTACTTATGTGGTCCTCAAGATAAGGGAAATGAGGCAGAAGTGCAATGAAAGTATCTAAAGTAATTTCAGGATGTCTCCTATCATTTTAAATGATCAGAATACATCTATGACAAAGGGTTCTAAAAATATGGCTTCTTATTAAAAAAGTGTTCATGTGGCTTAATTTACCCCAGGCTAGGGGTAAGATCCGAGTGTTGGACCACCTGGGTGTAAACTGACCATCTAAATGAATCTGAAACCCATGTAAAATTGTAAAGATAATTTACTTTAAAAACTCAATAATAAAATATGTAATTCTTTCTTTAACTCTAACTTAACATAAAATCAACCAAATAAACTTGACATTTGAATATCTCTAATTGTTTTCATTTCTGAAACAATATGTTGAGCACCAAAATTGGAACCTTCTCAAAAACAATAAAAAGTTTGTAAAATTACACACAAACTAAATTAGAATGAATAAATAAATGTCACTGAAGTTAATAAACATTTCAGTCAAAAGGTTTTTTGGCATGGTAGTTTTTTTCTGTAATTCTGACCATTTTAGGCCATTAGGGACTACAGGTGGAAAATATATGGTTAAGCATCTTATGGTTCATATGAGAGAAGAATCTGGTTTACACTGTTCCCATCAAAGAAAGTCAAGAAAAGAAAAAAAAAACTATTGGCGTAATATTACATTGAAATTATACCAGTTTATGCTTCAGAGATTTAACTTAACTTAAGTGCCTTATTTGTTATGCTAAAATTTACAGTTTTGGTGTTACAGAGTTTTTGCACAGTCTGGCAGAAATGTTGGGTGATTCACAAATATAGTAATATACGTGCACGGTAGCCAAGATAAAGGGGGTGGGTCAACTTGCCCACTGGCTCATCTTACCCTACTTTCACCTACATTTAAATAAACATACATATATGACACGAGAACAGAAGAACATTTAAGTAAGACTAAGGGGAAAAGAAATAATAATTTATACATCTGGAACAGAACAGACTTGTGGACAGATTTGTGCATAATGTACTGTATATATACAGTACAAACCTATAAATGAAATCTGTATATGTATTTATATAAAATCTAATTATTGCCTCTCTCTCAGTTACTGAGATATAAATAATAAAAACTAGTGGTAATTACTATGTTAGCTGTCTGAAGATAGTTTAGGGGGAAAAAAAGCTTTTTATGCCTAGATGTTCTGAGATATGCAATGTCTGCCTGAGGGCAGAAGTGTGAACACGCCACAAAAGTAGAGTACTAAGAAACTAGTGAATACAAACTAAAAGTCCATGAAAACTAAACCTAACAAAACAAGACCGTGACAACTGTACTCACAAATATTTATTTACATTTAGTCATTTAGCAGATGCGTTTATCCAAAGCGACTTACAAATGAGGACAATGGAAGCAATCAAAATCAACAAAAGAGCAATGATATGCAAGTGCTATAACAAGTCTCAGTTAGCTTAACGCAGTACACGTAGCAAGGTTTAAGTTATATAATAAATAAAAAGAAAGCAGATAAAATAGAAAAAGAATAGAGCAAGCTAGTGTTAGAGGTCTATTTTGCTTTTGTTAATTGTATAATATTTATATACTTATTTAAACTACAATGAATGTTAAATTATTATGGGATCTCCTTCAAACAGTGAAAAAAACGTTCAAAATCTTTACTTTTTCTTTTTTTTTCCTGAGCTAAAAAAAGAAAACATTAATGACAGTGTATTTACTGAATGAAAATCTATTTATATTTACTAAAACATGTTAAAAAAAAGTGTGCAAAGATTTTGTATCAATACCAGGTCTTTTAATACATTTTAATTATATCAAATAAGTAAAGAAATATGTTATGACTGCAATAACCCTATTGTACTGTAACATAAAGAGTAATAATAATAATAATAACCAAAATATTTATTTTATCACTATTTAAATCATAACCATTAAACAAATCCCAAAATGGTTACTATTGCAAACATTGTACTATAAAATAAAAAGTATTGGTAACACTTTATTTTAGGGTCTTATTGCTTTACTATTTGCTTTACAAATCAATTACTAGAATATTGTCTGTTTATTAGTACTTATAAAGCACATATTAATGCCTACAGATATGTATTGAATATTTTAATCTTCTGAAATGTACTCCTGATAGATAACTTTTCATTCTTGCCACTTATTTTATTTTATTTATTTTGTGTGTGTGTGTGTGTGTGTGTGTGTCGGGATTTTATATTAGTAATAATTATTTTATGAGAAAATGTTTGAATGAAACATTGAAAGATGTCATTATTTATGGGCAAGTTAACTAAAGGATTATCAACTAATCATAAAAATAATGAATAGATTAATTGATCAGTTAGTTAGAGGCCTAAAAAAACATTACAGAGTGTGATTTCTGTTAGAATACAACTTCCTGTACAGCTGTTTTGTAGAAAGTACAATACAACCACATGTGAAATGTGAACTGAATTAAAGGGTTAGTTCACCCAAAAATGAAAACATCGTATCCGCGTGACGCAGCTGACACAGAATAGCATACGCTGTTTGCGTTCAGAGGATATTCTCCAAAATGGTGCTACAGGGTGACGTGGAGGAGACGAATTGTTGAATAAAGTTGTTATTTTTGTTTTCTTTGCGTACAAAAAATATTCTCGTAGCTTCGTAAATGTACGGTTGAACCATACGGTTGAACCATGGATTATTTTACAGATATCCTTGCTACGTTTCTGGACCTTGATCGTGTAAGGATCCTTGCTGTCTATGGGAGGGTCAGAGAGCTCTCAGAACTCATCAAAAATATCTTAAATTGCGTTCTGAAGATGAAGAAAGGACTTACGGGTTTAGAACGACATGAGGCTGAGTAATTAATGACATTTTGGGGTGAACAATCCCTTTTAACAATCCTTGCGCTGAATGTCATCTGTTGAGGAGTGTAAAGTGGACTGAGATGTCTGCACATTTGTCTCTGGGCACATTCGTGTTTATAGATATTGAATGATTTTTCATGAAAATAACACAATTGTTCTGAAAGCTTTGTGCAGATGAGCATTTATGAGAGTCTACAGTCATTAATGTCAGAGATTTGTTTTTACTGAAAATGAAGTATACCGGTAAAAAAAATTTGCAAATGCATTATAGATGCATATGTTTTTATTGAGATTTTTTGTTTTTGCATAAATATACCCTTTAAGCTTAAGCATTTTAAGCTTCTGTTAATTTCAGAAGCACATATAAGAGTGATTATTTTTTATGTTAGTTTGTAGGTTAGTAAGAGCTTTTTTAGGGTACAATTTAGCAAAGTCCTGCTTTCGTTATAATCATACCACAAATTGTAAACCAACTATCACCAACATGATTTGCAACAGTAATCCCAGTTGTCTTCATAGTCTGTGTAGCACCACAGGTAATCTTTCTCGTGGTAGCCACACTTGTGATTGGACCTGCAGGTTTGGCCATCCACAGCTGAGTAGCAATCATCAGAAGTACAGCAGTCATCATAATTGCCTTCATCATTCGTGTAGCACCACATAAGTCTTGATCCATATTTGGCACAAGCATGGTCACTGCGGCAGTACTTCCCGTTTTTAGCTTTACTTCTCCACAGCGGAGGGCTGCAGAAGTCCCAGCTGCCAGAGATGGTCTTACACCAGTAGTAGTCGTTGCCGTATGTTGCACATGGGTGATCATCCAAGCACTTCTCTCCTTTAAAAGTGACGAGTGAGTACCGGGCCGAGCACTCGATCTGCGTCTGGCCTGAGTAACACCTGTAGGAATTGAGATTGTCCTGGTACAGGCAGGGAGTGGAGCAGCACGACTTGACTTCACCATTAGTTTCACACTGACAGCTGTACCTAGAGTCAGAGAAGCTCGAGCAGGGCGATCCATCAGCTGCAGTCTTCTGCTTCTCTGGGACCAGCAGGCATTCGACAGCATCCGACACCCCTGATATGTCCCTTTTTCTGAGATCACTCCTTTCTAGTGGTTTCACGCGAGTTATAAGACAACTGCTTCCAGCAACCTTCAGATTCTTTGCTTCATTGTAGTAAGTGCTCATGCTGTCAAAGGCTAATTTTATTGTCATCTCACTCACCTTGAATTTCTTTTCAGGTATGATGTTACTGTCGGCAGCCCTTTTCAATAAGGTGCACGTGTTTTGCATGTCTGAGCTCATTTGGACTCCTTGCTTCTCCTTGCTTTGTTGACTGATTAATGTCTGAAATTTGACCTGAACGTCATCTAATTTATTATTGTCATGAAAACAATCAGCCACAAAAATGCTAATTTCTGAGCGCTGACGATAGTGATTTTTTATTTGCGTGTTCAGGTTTGGGACACTCCACAGGTGTATGCTGCCTTCTGGCTTGTTTTCCCCCATATAGCTGAAGGAGAAAGACTTTTTGTCATCAGAGTGGTGCTTATAGCAGACGGCCGTCCAGATGTGAGAGGGCACCGTCACCCTTTCGGGCTCTTCAGAGATTTCGCTTTGTGGTATCCGTAGGTTCACATCAGGTACTGTACCTGTGACAATGTAGACTGTAGCAGAACCACTGTCACTAATGAGCTTGTCTCTTAAAAAAGTCCTCAAAGTTTTCTCCCACTTTGCCCATTGGTTACGGTTGAAGCACGCATCCATAGGTGCTGCATTGGTCAGCGTGAACGTTGCTATACGGCCTGCACCGCACTGGAAGCTGTTGGGGTTCAGGTGTCCCTTATCATATCCTGTTTCACTGTAGTCGTCGCTGATGGCTTGCTCTCCTTTATAAGCTCTTTTGTAATTTTGATTCTCACGGACCATATAGTATTGAGTTTGTTCTTCAGGTTTGGAAATCTACAGAAGAAATATTATGTTAGATGGTTAGTTTGATGTTTTATTATTTTTTAATTTAATTTTTGTAACATTAAGTAAGGTAACACTACAATAAAGTTTCATTAGTTAACTACATTAGTAACATGAACTAATAATGAACTGCACTTCTACAGCGTTTATTAATCTTTATTAACCCTGTAAGGCCCACAATATTACAACATCATTTTTAGCTTGACTAAAAAAAAAAAACAGGTCATGTTTTTTCTCTCTCTCTCTAAGACCACATTTACGCAAATAATAGGTCTTATTGTTCAGCCTTGCAATGCAATTGGATGCTAGATTTTAAAAAAAATAAAAATAGGTCTATTTACGTGGACATGAAGTCACACTACCTGCGAACTTCCCTTGAAGCACATCATCTTGTTTTTATGGACTGGATAAATCAACATTCAAGTAAGTAAAATCCCTAAAATATTTTTTTCTGTCATTATGTAGATATTAAGGTATTGTCAAATGCTTTGATCATTTTGGATTATTTGGATCTTATGTCAGTGTTATAATTTTGCAACACTGGGTTAAAGGGGTAGCAAAATTTGCCTGTGCACTGTGCACATTACATGAATGAATTGTGCTTCTCACCTGTTCCATGTGGAAAAAAATACTAGAAACATACTGGTTTTGATTATTCACGAGTTTTTTTTTTTTTTCTGGGCTTTGCTTGTTTGTCCAAATATCTGCCTGCTGCATGAGGGACAGGTGATAATGTTCTGGATTGTGGGGGTATCAGTGCTATTAGCATGATAAGTAAGGGCACAATAAGCAATCAGAGAGTATTGTGTGAATTCTATGGAATGTGTGAATTCTCAAGAATGGGTGAATTCTTTAAAATGTGCAAGTTTGATTGGGATTAATTTGCATTGAGATGATTTAGCATAGAAAACAATCAGTGTGTTTTTTTTTCTATTTCAGAATGCCATCAGCCAGGAAAGACTGTCATCATATGTGTATGATATCACTGATGCTGTCCAAAATGGGAACAGTGACTTTGAGATGGACTCTGATACAAGTGATGAAAGTTCTAAAGTCAAGTAGTGAAAGTTTTCATTTAGTTCATCAGGTTCTGTGAATATAATCTGAACATATATTTTTATAATAAATTCTTTTTTCATAAACATTTGACTTACTGTATCATTATTGTGTGATTATTATTGTATATATTCATATAGGCCACTGATATAAGGTTACAGAAGCATTACACCCTGCAAATGAACCTTTAGATGTCCTCTGCATTTGTTCAGATAGTGAGTAAAAACAGTGAAATTCTGCTACCCAAGAGCCCAACATTGCAATATTACAACATTTCCCTGAAAACTTACTAAAATGTCAAAAATGTAAAAACCCAATTATTTCTACATTAGAGGCCTCCTACAACAACATTTTTAAGTTTTTTTTTTTTTTCTATATTCTGGTTTTTGAGGGTTAGTTAATTTCAAAATTTACTAATACATTATTAACATTAAAAGTTATGAACGAACAATGAACATCTGTATTTTGTTAACTAACGTTTACAAAGATTAACAAATACCGTATCGAATGTATTGTTCTTACTTTGTCATACTTTTTTAATGTTATAGTACAGTATAAGAATGTTCCATATATCACCATCAGTCTAATGTATTTTATATATTATTTGGAATGACAAAACAGAATGGAATGCTTAAACTGCAAATGAAAGTCTTTTGTTAGACAGTGAAGCACATGATTACCTGTGGCTCTAAATGCCAGAAGCTTGGCCTTCCACTGTCGGTTAAGCATGTAGGGTCAAATCTGTAGGCGCTGTAGAGAGGAATCTTGTGATTAATTGAGTACAGCGTAGCGTAATGAGGGCCTAAGTTTGCTGTAAACTGACAGATTTTCTTGGCATTCTGATCCATTCCCACCGGTTCTGTGTCTTTGTAGAAAAATTCTTTACAATCAAAGTCATCAGCTACTTTTGCTTGAGCACTGAATGCTCTCAGCACAATACAGGTGAGCAGAGCCGGAACAAACATGGTGTGAAGCTGCTCTTGTGTTACAGAGCAGAGACACCAGAAGCGCAGCGACTTTAAATACACAGTCAGCGTCAGAGATGCTGTTGTGGGTGTGACTGAAACTAACAAATGAGAAGAAATGACAAATATGATGGGAACTTCGCTTCACCATGCGTATGGGACTCATTTTTAGAGCTGGCACATGTAGGCTACAGTAACCTTGATTTAAAATAAAACAAATAGCTAATTTATACTATTGATGCTCACTATTGCTCAGTACTCAGTATTTTTCTCCATCAAATGCAAGTCCATGTGTGGGTTGCACCAATAAGGATTAATCTTAAATCTAGATTAAATCAAGGTTTATCTAATAACTCTGTTGCACCAAACTTTAAACCTTGTTTAAAAAATAAACAGGTTTACATTTAAACCATCATCTTGATCCTGGATTAATTTATATTTAAAATAGATTAACTGGTAACACTTTATTTCGATAGTCCACTTTAGACATTCTATTAACAGTAAGTAACTTTGCAACTACATGTCAACTAGCAGTTAGTAGAGTATTAGTAGACTGTCTGCTTAATATCTTCTAACACTTTCTTTGTCAACTTATTCTACTAACCCTAAACCTACCCTAACAGTCTACTCTGAGAATTAGTTGACATGTAGTTGACATATAGTTACAAAGTTACTTATAGTTAATAGAACGTACATCACTGATTTCAGCCTTTATATATAATATATAAAATATAAAAGCACATATAAAAAACACCCTATTCTAAATGGTAAAAATCTCAGCAATCCATGGGTTATACACGTTACATATGAGCTGTCTTTACAATAGTCTTTTGCATTTTCTTATCTGTAGTTGTGTACAAAAAGCCCAGTTTGTTACAAAGAAGGTTGATGAGAAATGTCGCCTTGTCTCTGAGTCTATTCAAAATGTTAAAACCTGAAACTACAACAATATGAACCCAGCGGTTTCTTAATCTTCCTGTGATCATCATGTCAACAATTTTGCACTGGCCGAATGAACAACTACAGTCAAAACTCCATTACTCAGTGAAAATGAGGTCAAATAAAACTACACATAGACTATGACATGTTAAGGCAACACAGATCTGTTCAATAACGCAGTTAGAGCTGCCCAATGTGCTTAGTTCTCTAAATTGGTCTCTGTGAGCCTGAAGGGCTCAATTCTCAACTGTGATGATTTTGCAGCTTTTTATAGATAAGCAATCCATAAAGATCTTCGAATTCGAAAAGGCACTTATGACTGAAGCAGCTTCCAAACTTACTAACACGTTTAAACAAGTCCTTTGGGCAGCTGTGGCCTAATGGTTAGAGAGTCAGATTTGTATTCCAAAGGTCGTGGGTTTGAGTCTTAGTACCAGCAGGAATTGTAGGAGGGGGAAGTGAATTAACAGCAATCACTTCCACCTTCAATACCCACGACTGAAGTGCCCTTAAGCAAGGCACTGAACCCAACACCCTTAGCTCCACAGCAAAAATGGCTGCCCACTGCTCCGGGTGTGTATGTTCGGTACTCACTGCTGTGTGTGTGCACTTGGGTTAAATGCAGAGCACAAATTCTGAGTATGGGTTACCATACTTGGCCACATGTCATGTCATGTCACTTTCTATTTCACTTTCACTTTATTAACGTTACCCTACTCACTGGTATAACCTGTTCTTAAGCACTACTCAGAGCAGTCTAATGGAAATCTTCATTTTAAATCTTAATGCTAACTCATCTAAATCCTAAATGCTTAGTTCTGTCATGACAACTCTCAGAGGGATTGGCATGGTAATATACATGACAATGTCAATGTATTTGGTCTTGTAGATCTGCTACGCTGCTGCTGCGGTAGAGCAAGTACCAAGACTTGCTACTGCCAATACATCCACAACATGCTGCTGTGAGCATGTAAGAAATACTGCTGCTGCGCATAACATATGAAATAACCCCCCTATAGCACACATGAATCACCCTGTAGCAGATCCATACAGGTGGAGCTGGGGTAGGTGGAGGGTTTCTGAAGCGCGCTGCAACTGCTACAGCAAGCACTAGCCAAGTATTTAAATGTTGAGCAGCAAGCTCATTGGCTGATAATACAAAAAGAACCAATCAGCTGCGCCATGTGATAATGATGTCATTATGTCAGATTGAGTTTGACCTATCGGACTGCGTCATCTAGAGTTTCACGCCAGAACTTTGGATTTAAAGTTGATGATCAGTGGAAAAAAGTTAAGCCTTTGGATGCTGTATATGTTACCAGTATGACTGTGAACTGCTGAGGTGAATTTACTTTTTGGGGACAGTTATGAGTTGGTTTAGATCCTGCCCAAACATAAAAACAGTTTAAAATTATCATTGTAGAAATATTGTTTCTCTATGAGTCAAATGGAAGCCTGTTTCAGTCGGAGTAAAAAAATAATTGTGAGATAGCTAAAAATAAGAAATAAAGTTAGGTAACTTTATGAGAAAGTCACAATTATGAGATTATGAGTAAAAATTACAAGAAATATTTCCACTTGTGAGAATTATAAACTAAACTATAATAAGTCCAATTATGATATAATGACACATATAAAGTTATGTTTTAAGACCCAAGTGTTAATTGTGAGATATGACATATACATTTAAAGACTGAGATATAGAGGAAACAGGCTTTCATAGTGTCAGTGGCAGACTATAGAAAGGGTAGGGTGGGTTGCACCAATAAGGATTAATCTAAAATCTAGATTAAATCAAGGTTTATCTAATAACTCTGTTGCACCAAACTTTAAACCTTGTTTAAAAAATAAACAGGTTTACATTTAAACCATCATCTTGATCCTGGATTTAATTTATTTTTAAGATAGATTAACTTTAATCATGTTGCTCCATAACTTTAAACTCAGATTTAAATCTCAATTAGGGATTAATTTTAAATTTACAGGTGAGGAGGTTTAAAGAAAATAAAGTGCACCTACAGTTACAATTATGTGGCTGATTGAACAAAGACAGAAACAGCGGGTGTGTCGTCAGGTCTCAGAGAGGTGTTTATTATAAATAAAAATGTATTCCATAGTAAACTTGCGTCTGCTATCGAGTCCGGTATGTGAATCCATCACTCACTTATCTGCATCTCGCCTTACGACAAAGAAAAGAAGACAGGATCGCGGCCGCGCCTCTCGTTTCTCACGCCCGCTCCACGCGTGCACTGCCTCAAAGTTTTAATTGCTTGCTTGGTCAGCCGTTTGATCAACGGTCTCTCTACGTACATTAGCGGTTTATAAAGACGGTGGACCTTTTACAAGTTTATTTCCTTTATCGACAAAAGCAACTTATGTCAGAGACAGAGGATAAGGAATATTAGCATTGTTGCTGTTTAATTACATGACGAATCCATCATGGCGGAGAAAATATTTCGTAGATGGAGGTTTTAATCGCAAGGAATATTAGCATTGTTGCTGTTTAATTACATGACGAATCCATCATGGCGGAGAAAATTATTCATAGATGGAGGTTTTAATCGCAGGTTAGAATTTGAATCCCCGATTTGTTAATCTAAGTTTAAAATTAAGTGGTGCAACACAACTCGATTTAAAATAAAACCCAGATCAACAAATCCTTGATTAGCTCTAAACTTTGCTTAATTTAATCCTTGTTGGTGCTACCCACCCCATGAGTACTAAATTTTTGACGGCCCAAAATACATATTTAAACAGCTTCAACTGACTCCACGCAACCCCAGAAAAGAATTTATTAAGTCCACGTCATACAAACAAGAACCTATGTGGTGACACTTCACAATAAGGTCTCATTAGTTAACATCAGATGTGGGTAGAGTAGCCAAAAACTGTTCTTATATACAGTACTTATATAAACACTTACTCAAGTAAGAGTAAAAGCAACAATCCTAATAGTTACTTAAGTAAGAGTAAAAAAGTATCCAATGAAAAATCGACTCAAGTAGCGAGTTACTATAGTAGTCAACATTTGAAGTGGATCAAAACCTTTCATCAACTTCAAATGTTGACTACTGTAGTTACTTTGGAGTATATCAGCATCAGAAATTAATTTGATTTCCACAGGGGCATTTTTTCATTTCTTACTTGAGGGCAATTTTATAACTACCTTAATTCATATAACTAATTAAAGGTTAAAGCTGCAATGGCAGTTTGTTGTTTATGGTAATGAGAGAATTTGCAAATGCAAATGCATATTCATCAGAATTCAGTCAATGAGCGCGCACAACTCTGAACAAATCTGGAGTTCTCCGCAGTGACCAATCAAAACGCCTCTGATTGTACATTGCATTCATAAGCTCAACAGAAACGTGTTTGATTGGTTACAATGCTCAACGCTGCAGACCAGGATTTGATGCAATGCGATAAAGCAAATCTACCATAAATTAAATGCCGCGATCGACACTTTTCATTCATTTCACTTTACACATTTCACGTGACCTAGCTTACCACTAATACAATATTACTTCAATGAAATCGAATGTATACCTGTGGAATCGTTCACAGACAGCACGCACAGTGTTCAACTAATAAAGATCCTTAACTGCAGGCCAACAGTAGAATTTGCAGATTTGGCTTCAACTGACTGTAGATCTTTATGTTTTACGTGTTCTCAAATTACCCGGAATGAATGAGAAACCACTTCAGATGATTCAGTGCGTGCAGGGAACTGAACAAATCATTTAAAGTGATTGGCGAACCAATTCAGACCGTTTTTCAGGCTTGTTTGTTCAAGGACTTGAACAGAATTGACTCAAAAGAGTGATTCACTCGCAAATGGGGTATCGTTCATGCCCCAGATAAAAGAGACGGCACGCTTGGAATAAACTACACGTACAGTTTTTTCCGTTAGAAATGTACTCAAGTTAAAGTACCCATCTTTAAATCTACTCTTAAAAGTACAGATTTTCCAAAAATTTACTCAAGTAAATGTAACGGAGTAAATGTACTTCGTTACTACCCATCTCTGGTTAACATTTGTTAATATATTAGCTAACATCAAATAATAAT